TCAGCCATAAGAAGAAAACAAATCCTACCATTTGCAACAACATGGATGGAGCTAGAGAGTATTATCTCAGTGAAATAAGCCAGGTGGAAAAAGACAAGTATCAAATGATTTCACTCATCTGTGTATAAGAACAAAGAAAAAAAACTGAAGGAACGAAACAGCAGCAGACTCACAGAACCCAAGAATGGACTAACAGTTACCAAAGGGAAAGGGACTGGGGAGGATGGGTGGGAAGGGAGGGATAAGGGGGGAAAAAAAAAGAAGGGGCATTACTATTAGCAGACATAATGTAGGGGGTGGCCACGGGGAGGGTTGTAGAACACAGAGAAGACAAGTAGTGATTCTGTAGCATCTTACTACACTGATGGACAGTGATTAATGGGGTATGTTGGGGGGACTTGGTGATGGCGGAGTCCAGTGAACATAATGTTCCTCATGTAATTGTAGATTAATGATACCAAAAAAAATTAGTATCCTTTTACTAATCCAAACATCTGGTAATTGGCTGAAAAGGAAAAGGAGGGGAGCCTACCAGCACAAGAAGCTGCTCAGACTCCTTTGGAGACTGTGTATAACCCAGAAACTCCCAGTTAGCCAAGTCTGTCTCTTTTCTGGAATTGAGTGCCAATAGCTGCAGAATACTGCAGGAAAAATATCTAGATGACAGATGTGGTTTCCTATGGTAAATGTGTCATAAAATAAAGCAAAATCTGGAACTGGCTTGGGCTATGGAGAAATATCTCCAGACCACTATAGTGGAAGTTGCCCTAGGGCAGCAGAGGTCTCAAGAATTAAATAGGAAACTTAAGTATGAAAGAAAGAAGGATACTAATGTTTATGCAGGGTAGCCAAAGACTCTCTGTGCTTCTCCTTTCCCAAGAAGAGCTGGCTTGGCATTAAGTTGGGGAAAAGGCAGATTACTACTAATGGTATTTAAATTGATATTTCTTTATAAAGGAGGTAACACATTCATATGATGAAAAAAATCCAAATTGTACAGAAGGAAATGTATGTATATAATGAAAAATAAATATCCTATATCTCTGTTCCTCAGTTGCCATTCCCAGAACAAACACTATATATTGGTCCAAATAGATTATACACTGTACTGCACCTTGCTCTTTAACAATGTATTTTGGTCCTTAATCCCTATCAATATATATATAAATCTGACTCCTTTAAAAAATAGCTGTAGAGTATTCCATTGGGCATACCATAATATTATATAACCACTTATTGATCAACCAAGAGAAATATTGTATCCTTGTATGTAGTTAATATCCTTGTATGTAGTTATTAGGCTACATGGGTATTGTATTTGCAGGATAAATTGTTATAAATAGAAGTACTGAGTCAAAGGGTATATGCATTTCAATTGGAAAGATACTGCCCCCTTTCCTCTAACAAGGGGTATAATTCTCTAGTGTTAAGAGAATATTTTTTTCCCATTCAAGGAATTATTAAACTTCTTTGTTTTCTACCAATCTGACAGATAAAATATTATCATAGTTTTTATTTGCATCTCTAATTATGAATGAGATTGAATTTCATTTCATATATTTCATCCATTTTCTTTTTATATGAACTATTCATGTTTTCTGCCTGTTATGTCCTTAGTCTTTTCCTTACTGATATACATATTAAGGAAATTAAGTCTTCATATCTGTATGAAGTGCAGTTATTTTAGCCAATCTGTCACTTTTGTTGTGCACAAATGTCATTTGATGTTGTTATTTTTAAGAATTTCTTAAATGACTTGAGGATTTTGTGTTATGGTTAGAAAGGCCTTCCCTATTCCCAAATTACTATTTTTTAAAACAATCATTTTATTTTCTGCTAAAAGCATATGGTTTCATTTGTCCCATTAAAATTTTTTTATGTGTGAAATTTATTTTACATAAAGAATAAATTAGGAGCCTTACTATTTACAGATGGTTTTTCTA